TCCTACCTGGAATCATTGCTCGTATCTGCTGCCCTCTCTCTGGGGCTGGGGACAGTAGCCAAGGCAGGTGTCATTGGGAGTGGGAGGCAGGCATGACTTGCAGAGGAGCAGGGACACCCGTTGGCTGAATGTGGAGGGTCAGCGGACTTGGCGCCTGCTTGGTGGGACAAAGGAGGGGCTCACAGGCGCATGCGCACAAAGCTCCATGGCTGGGAGGAATTCGGTAAGGGCCCGAAGATTTGTGCATCTGCTCCTGGGGATGCGGGGCTGCCGTGGCCCCCCAGTTCTGTCTGGATCTTGAAGGTGCACAGATACCCCCACGTTTGCCTCTGGCTGAAGGCAGAACAACCAAACGTTGGGCTCTGCAGGCTGCCTGGGCGAGCTGCTGCCAGTCCCCGAGGCTTCATCCACCGGCTCCATGCCGTCCCCAGCACAGATGAAGCCGCTGGAGGAGATTCACTCCGCGGACCAGGGCTTCATTTCAAACGCCTGGCCTCAGGCTGCAAATGGGCTATTGACACTGCCTCGCCGTCCTACCCTCTTCTCCTTTTGGCTTGCTCTGCTCCAACACAAGGCCTGCGCCTGTCTTCCCCCCTCCCCTCTGCGCTCCATCCGGCTCTGCTGACTGAGCCTCGCGCCGGGCTGGGAAAATAGAAGCCAACAGATGGGAACTCCCTCCCCTTGCCACCACCACACGTACACACCTTCCTACAGCTACTTCTGCAGCAGGNCCCTGAGCCCCAGAGCACTGAATCCACAGCTCTGGTGGGTCATTATTTTGTACTCATTCAGTTTTCTCATTAGATTGGGTGGCCCCTGAGGGCCAAGCACTCAGTATGTCAGTCAGCTCAGGCTGCCATAAAAATATATGACAGACTTGGGTGGCTTAAACAGCAGACATTTATTTTCTCATAGTTCTGAAGACTGGAAGTCCGAGATCAGGATGCTCTCACACTTGAGTTTGGGTGAGGCCTCCCTTCCTGGCTTGTAGTGGCCGCCTTCGCACCGTGCACCGTGTCCCCACATGGTGGAGAGAGGGCAAGCTCTCTGGTATCTGTCTCTTCTTATAAGGACACTAATCCCATCAGACCAGGGCCCTACCCACATGAACGCATCTAAACGTTATTATTTCCCAGAAGCCCATCTTCAATGTATGAATTGGGGTGGGGGTTGGGGGTGCACAGATCTTCAGTCCATAACACTCAGTAAACATTTTTAAGTAAAGAAAGAACATGGGCTTCCTTAAATCCTCCTTGACCAAGGGCAGGACTGGTCCCAGGGTCCAAAGCAGGTGGCTGCAGTTGAAGCCTGCCTTTGAAAGGGGCATGGAGGGATCTAGTATTGATGTAAGCTGATCTGGTCACCTGGTCTCCTTGTCACACAGACTGAGAAAGTCAAGCCCCAAAGAAGTTCAAGGGACTCAGCCAACGTCTTATTCATCTGACCTCTGCCTAGAATCTAACATTGCGTACAAAATCATCTTTGTCCATCCAGAAAGCATTTATGGATCGCCGACTGTGTGCCAGGAATTGTGTTGCCGTCCAGAAGCCCCCTGCCTGGTAAGGGGCACAGACCTATAACCAGCCACAACAGTCCAGTGTGATGTGTGCCTCCGGGCAGCCCCNGATGCTCTACTTCCTGTCTACTCGATGCCTGGTTTACCCTTGGATTTCTTCTTTATCAAAATCCAGGGATGGCTCGTGGCTCCATGTTTCAGATAAATACCTCTGGTGGCATTGGTCAGACTGACCTTGACTGGGTCGAGCAGCCTGTTCCATTACTGCCCAAACCTCCCAGCAGGAGTGGCATTGGCTTTGTTTTGTTATTTAATTTTATTTATTTTTCCTTCTGGGTCTCAGTATGTAATGTACACTCTATACTGCCTTGCCTCTAGAGAGCCACTGTCTCTTGTGATCTTGGGTCTAGGTGGTTGATGAAGAAAGGGTACCCGTGTTCCTTTCATTCCCCTGGAGTCCATCCTCATGCGTGTTGAGGAGGGAACCTTCTCCCCACCTCGTCAGAGATGACCTGTGAGTCCGCAGGGCTGCGCTAAAGAAGCCAAGCCATTTGTTTGGTGGGTGTATGGGCAGCCACGTGGTCCTGAATCTCTGTGGTCTGAGAGTTCAGCTTCCATGATGTATGCTTTCCGGAAATCACTCAGTTAAGTAACAGCCTGGCTCAGTGAAAGGACGTATAGATCAATGTTCCATTTCATTATGGCAATAACTGAGATTGGACAGGTCAACACAGGGGGATACAGTTGTGTCAGGGGAGCTTATTCCAGGGCCAGAAAAGGTGCTTTGAAGAATATTGCCTAACAGATGAAGAAGGAAATTTGTATTTGTTGAGGGCCTACTATGTGCCAGGCACCTACTCGAAGCAGAAGTTGGAGCACTAAATAACAAAATACAGGCACCTAATGGTGTTTACAACCTAGCAGGAGTACTTTACATTAATCACTTCCTTCTTGTAAGTTCTACAAAGTATGTGTACTTTTCACATTTTATAGACAAAATGCTATTTTGGGAAATGGTAAGGATGATTTTCAACCCACATCTGTCTGATTCTTTAAAATCCTGCTCTTTTCATTTACCTCCTCGGCCTCGGCTAACTTTCTTTGTTGAAGAGGGAATCTAGTCTATGTATACAAGTGACCTTGACCCCTCTGCTAAACACCTGAACCAGTGACTGTTAACTCAGGGGGCAGCTTCATTTGACCATGGTGGTCAGTTTTCCTCTCTATCCTGCATCTCTTTCTAACCACTCTTGTCCATTTATCCTTCTCCGTTGAACCCACCCAGCTGAACCCCACTTCTGGGACGTTTCTGCACTGCTTCTTCCTAGGGTGCTGACTGCTGCTGGAGAAATTGGTCCACCATATCTCTCTGGGCCATTATAGTCCTAGGTCCCCAAGGCTGCCTGGAAATGCTTGCAGATGTCCCCAGATACTTCCCTGCCTCGCTGCCATTCGCATCTCCGCCTGACTGTCCCTCTTTTCTCAACTCTTTTTTAAAGCTCTGTTTCATTGCCTCTCATCACTAATAGAGAATCTATCCTTTTCATTGATAAAATTGAACAAAACTGAGGCCTCAGGAAACTCTCTCAAGGTCCTCCCTGGAAACCATTCAGCGTATCTCCTACTCCTCTTCTCCATCCATCTCTCGCATGCCGGGGAGAGGTGTGCTCCTGCCACAGTTGACCTCCCCCTTGTGCTCAGATGCCCCCCCCCCAGCTCCCCTGGAACCTTCCTCCCTTCACTGTTCTCTCACGCTCACATCTTCAGTTTCTTCTCTACCAACACTTCTCATCAGTACCTAAACATGTATAATCTCTCCAGTCTGAAAAATACCCTGTTCTGGGTCCCATGTTTCTGTCTAACTTCTTCTCTCTTCAGTTTCGCTGTCTCTCTCCCTGCACAGCAAAGCTTCTTGAAAGAATGATCTATGCTGGCTGTTTACACTGCCCATTCAGTCCTCCATCACCCATTGCAACCTGGTTTCTGTTCCCATGATCAAATGCCCAGACAGAAGTCATTAAAGACAGCNAAACAGTCCCTGATACATAATAAGCGCTAAATAAGAGTTTTAATAATGATATGAACATTATAAGTCACACACAACAAAGAAGAATTTAAAATGAGGGGATGATAATAAAAGCCCTAAACTTTTTGTTGGCATTCTCAGGTGGTGTATCTTATCACCCCTGGGGTGTGCATGGGACAGACACCCATGATTAGTGTGACTTGTCAGGACATAGATGCAGATGGCTGAGGGACTAGTTAGGAGACAGATCATTGATTCTTGGAAATAGGATGGCCTGACTTTGGAGCTAGCTGACCGTGGGAATGGAGAAGAGGAAATGGAGGGAGGGCTGCGCCTCTCCTGACCAGATGTGCCTTATCATATCTTCTTTTAAATCAGTTATTGCTACCACCAAAGACGCAGTCAGCTTCAGCCCAGTGGTTAGTTTGCTCATTCATCTAACAGTCTTTCTTGAGCCCTCTGTGTGCCAGGGCTCCAGGGGATATAAAGATGAATCACAAACAAGTCTGCACTTAAGAAGCTCGTGGCTGGGCAAGAGGAGACAGACATGGAAACAAGCATGTGCAGTAGAGTTTTGGGGGTTTTGATAGGTTTAGAAGCCTGTTTAGAAGCTGATGGAAGTGAACATGGAAGAGTGCTCAAACCCACTTGGGGGTGGGGAGAAGGTAAGAGAAAATTCACACGGATGGCGACCCTTGGATTAAGTATTGAGAAATGAGTCAGGGTGAGCAAGGGATGGAGTGCGCATGCCAGGCCGGAGCAGTGAGAGCAAAAACAAAAAGGCATGGCATAGCCCCGGGAGTTCTAGGGACTGCAGATGCCCAGAGCTGAGAGGCTACATGCAGTGGGGAAGTCACATGCCAGGCCACGGGCCAGGGCCACCCCACAGGAGTTGGGAAATCAGTGATGGCAGAGAAAAATAAATTTCTTTTTAATAACTCCTGCAAAACCGACTCTGCTTATAGTGTTTTTCTGGTGCAGTAAACATTGGCGGGCCTTAAAAAACTAAACTATTTTGTTTTTATTACTTTTAAAGGCAATATCAATGTCAATAAAAGCTACTTTGAATGGTATGCAATTAAGTTCCCCTCAAAAACTGGATTTAATAACCTTGACCTGCATTTACTTGCAAGNCAAACTAACTGAGATGAGTGAAGGAGAAACTGAAGCCTAGAGGGAACCTTGGTGTTCAGGCTGCGTTCCCAGATCAATTGTATCAGGAATTCTGGGGCTGCAACCCTGGCATCAGAATTTTTCAAAGTTCCCGAGGGGATGTCAGCTAAGCCCTTGCATCACCCGTCCCTGTGTGTCTCTGTTTCCAAGGAGGGCAGGCTGACTCCTGCAGGGAGGATAGGACACAAGCTCACAGGAGGCGCTAGAGGCTCTGCAGCTTTAAGAACTGGGGCTGGCTGCCTGCCAAGGAGGCCACCCGCCATTGTACAGGCCACGTGAGCACAGGCTGCAGAGCAAGGCGGCGACAGTCAGCACTGGGGCTGGCCTGGGCCTGCAGAACAAGCCGGTGGCGCAGGCGAGCCAGAGAAAGAGGACCTTTATGCCTTTCGGAGGGAAACACACACTCTGCAGGGCAGTGGAAACAAAGAGAAGAACTGTTTGTAGCCCTAATCCAGACGTCCCAGACAAACAGTAAGTCAGGAGGGCATGGAACACATCACAGACCTACCCCCCACCAGCTCCCACCAGGTGACATCCACACGCTCCATCCACCTGAGGAGCCACAAGCCTGCAGAGAGCCAGCTCAGGAGCTGGTAGGGCACAATTAGCAGGACAGAAAATGCCCTGAAATTCTCCAAGTGGGGAACAGGGAGCCCCTGTTTCTCTCTCTGAAAAGTTGGAGCTCAGTTCTTGACAGGTAGCACTTGATAACTGACAACACCTCAGGTGTGGATAGTGCTTCTCCTCTCAGTCCTCACACATGCATGAACCTTGTGGTCTATGTCATTGCCCCCACAAAACCCCCAAGGTCATGTGAAGGCAAAGAAAACAAAACTGAAACCTATCAGGGGTATCTGTCAGCTTCTGGGCCAGAAGCTGGCCAGGGATGATGTGATGAAGCTAATGACCAAAAAAGGAGATGGCAGTGGGGGTGAAGGGACTCCAGGCTGGGAAGACACAGGGGCAGTCAGCTGGTGAAAGTTTCCTGGGCACCCAAAGGCACAAGCAGGGACCTTTGAGGAAAGGGGAGGTGAGGCAGCAACCAGGCCATCGCCTCCACCTTGGCTGGAGGTAGAGCTCTGTAAATCTGCTTCAAGGCTTTCTCCAGACCAGCAGTCTGCTATCCTCCGTCTCCACTGCGGGGCCAGGACCAGCATGGTGCAGGGGACTCGCAGCCTTTTGCTTCTTTCTTACTCTTCACCACCAAACGCGAAAGGCAAAGCCACGTGACTTTTGGGTGTCTCCTCTCTAGCCTCATCCGTGCCTCCCTGCCCCCTCCTCATTACAGACCCTGGAGAGCTAACTGTAATCACCTTACTTCATGAGAACACAGGCAGAAATTATGTGTCGGGGGCAGGGAGCAGGTTGAGATGATGTAGGCAGAAAGAAGAACACTGGCATTAATTGGCACACAAAGGAGGGAAGCTATTTTGTGTCTTCAAGATAACTGGGTCCAAGCTACAAGGAAAGGGAGGAGAGGTCAGAGAGTAGAAAGCAAAGAGAAAGCTGGCTTCCCCAGAGGGGTGGAGTTAAGGTGAGGAAGAAGGAAGCGCTAGGTGGCCTGGGGTGAGGCAGGGCAGGGCAGGGCAGGGCAGGGTGGGGTGAGCTCAGAGAAAGCTCCACTGCGGCTTGTACATAATCATGATGAAGCATCTGAAAGAGTCAGATGTGACTTCCGGCAGGAGATCCACCGGTGGCCCTTGACATGTTTTATTTCTCAATTTGAGCATTCTTAGAAAATGGGGAAACTCCACATGTGACTCTGAAAGGTCTGGCAACACCAGGCTCACATCACAGCAGGGCAGAGAAATCTGAAGCTCCCATTCACCAAAGTCCCCGCGCACTGTCGCATTCTGTCTTCCCCATCCCACTCCCCAACTTCTGTACCTGCCTGGTTCCCAGAGACATTGCAGATAGAGACTACTCCTGCCCTTGATAATAATGCTTCTCTTCTATTGAGTGTGTGTGTGTGTGTGTGTGTGTGTGTGTGTGTGTACCTGTGTGTGTGTCCCTATGTGTGTACACATGTGCACCCCAGAAACACAGGTATGCTCTCTTTCAATTAATTTCAATTAACCTCTCCCTTTTTCAGTTGAGGATGACAGATGCCCAAAACCAAACGTACTCCTCTCCTTAACAGATGTCACCAGCCTTTCCAGGCGATCTTCCAAATTGCTCGATGGTATTCGCATTTTTTAAAAAACTGAGTGCATTTTGTTATTTTGGCTGTAAGGATTTCCCAGCGTTCCTTAAGGCAATGTTTCATTTATGCCACACTTTAGAGCTTTCAAAGCATTTCTTAA